AAAATTACATTGGAAGGAAGGGGATACCGACACAGAATGTACTGACTGCATGTGATTTCAATCTTTGTTTTACGTTTATGCTGCCACAGGGAACACCCCCGAGAATCGTATGTTGGCCCAAGCTGTACATAGTTCGAAAATCAATTTTTCGGAATCCGCAAATGGGAAATATTACCTGGTTGACACCGGGTTCGCACATAGGCCTAGTTATATGGCTCTATATAAGGGATCTGATATTAGATATCATTTTAAAAAATTCGGTCATGCAAGGGATGGGCAACACTGTCGATTTCCTAATGCACGGGAGCTATTTAATTTTTATCACTCCTTATGTCGTAACGTTATTGAGCGTGCCTTTAGTGTTTGGAAACAGAGGTGGAAGATCACCCATCGAATGCCTGCTTACAGTATGAGATTGCAAACAGCTATGGTCGTGGCCACAATGGGTATACATAACTTCTTGAGGAGAAACGGTTGGCTATATGAGAATTTTCATAGAGCTGATGAAGTAGATGACGAAGACGTCAAGATAGATCTACCAGATGAAGAAGAAGATATTGTCGCCGAGCAAGATACAATAGTTGAAGAGGACATGTCGTGGCAACAACTACGTGATTACATAGCACAGGTGTTACGTTAGTGTTTGTGGAATAAGCCACAATTGGGTACTTATGTTTGTTTTATTCGTGTTTTACTCTTTGGATGTCTGAATTTTCAGAAATAATTTCGAGCTGGAGCTTCACGAAGTTTTTACGAACGAAAATGTTTTCCCTCAATTTGTTGGCTTTTCATCACAAATTTGTATTAATGAAATGGTTTCTTTGTTGCATAATCAATTGTATGACTTTTCAACACTAATGAATGCACCTACAATTTTAGCCATGCTGATTATCACGTGTCGACACCTACCACAAATATCAAAGGCAAAATTGAAGGGAATTATTAAATAATGCCACCAGCTTTTTACCCAAACAACCAACATGAAAAGACCCCTGTCAGATATGACATTATCAAGTACACAAATAATGCCACTAGCTTTTTACCAAACAACGAACATGATAAGACCCCTTTCAGATGAGTAGGACATTATCAAAGACACTGGTGCCCACATATAATGCAAATTTCCGTTCAAATAAGAGGAAAAAGGGTTGTCAAACGATCGCGCTTGTTTGACACCCATTCCGAAGAAAAAATAAATTTTGGAATAGTAATTGATAGAAGAATGTACGGTTAAAAAGTAATGAAAATTTTTGAATTTATGTGTAGTATTATTTTATTAATAGAATGTGAGGTTGAAATGAAAAAAGAGAATGAGAATGAGTGTCAAACGAGAGCATCATTATAATCACCCATCTTTTGAGCATGGAACTTTACAGCTACGTTATGGTCTTATTAATAAATTATCATGCATGAATCACGTGTAATTAGAATATGCCAATTCAAGACCACACGTCTCTCGCTTTACAACTTTAACTAGTAAGTGCCCTTAATTTAAAATACATATTCAAAAAGGCGACTTGATTTTTGAAAATGTTGATTTCAATAACTATTACTTTGTTTGTCATTTATTTTTTCTTGATAACGCCATTGAGGCCTTCTCTCATCTATACTATATTTTCTCATAATATCATGGACCGAGGATCTATGATTAACACAGTCATACTTATATGGGTATTGAATTTTTCTAACATATTTTGCCTCATAATACCTATTATAATAAAATTCAAATATTAATTTTAATTTACACCAAACATTGGCTTATGTTGTATCAAACAAATTTGTATCTCCCAGAATTGAGGAAAAACAATAATTATTGTCATAATTGTAACTAATTAAGAAACAACTCAGTCGCCCTACATGATTTGTACCAAACAAATTTATATCTTCAAAATCAAAAGACAGAGAGAATCTTACAGCCTATCATCTAAATTATGCCTGTCCAAGTTGTTGTCGCGAGTAAATTCGATTGGTCAGTCTTCTGAATTGCATTAATTAGTTTCAAAAGTTGGAGCGACTCTGTACCATAGACTGGCAAAAATCACGTGTTTAGAATATTCGCATTAATTAGTTTCAAAAGTTGGAGCGACTCCGTACCATAGTATACGTCGGTCGCATTTATCCATAGTTGGTTTTGGTCAAGAATAGAAGAAAACTCTCACTCGCGTCAACTACGGTTCAACGGACTTGTATAATAGAGAAAGTTAATACAACGTGACTTCTTATATAAATAGTTTCGAAATAGGAAGCTATTTTATAAATTAATTTCAAAACAAAAATTAAAGTAATTTTCTCATTAAGCCCTTATAAATAAAACGAAAGTCATGTTAAATGGGCTCTTAAATAATTTCCCGAACCACTGAACCATTAGGGGAAATCGGCCATTTGATACTTGCCCTACATCAAAATAGGCCAACAATCATTTAAAAAAAGGGCAACTTACAAAAATACCCTTAAAATTAAGGGTCTTGAAAAGTATGTTGGAAGTAAAAAATACTGTGTAAAATTAAGTATCACTTTTTAAAGTCATTTTTAATAAAAGTTATATATCCAATTTTAATTAAAAGTAACATGTCACTAAAGTGACATGTTACTTTTAATTAAAATTGGATATATAACTTTTATTAAAAATGATGTTTGTCACACAAAAAAGTGATATAAATTTCAAGAAAGCGATAGAAAAAAG